GGAGAGGTTTGTCAGTGCAGAGCAACAGCATCTGTCTTCAGGTCACCTCTGGTAGCAATTCAGGTGATCCTGAAAGCACAGCCTTACCATCATGGCCATCCTGTATCTTCAGGTTTTACCCTCCCCTAGACAGAACCCTGGGACAGTTTTTCAAAAAACAACCGTCCTCAAACAACATTTCTTTGGACTGTCTGCGTCATGTCTACATTCTGCAACATTTCCCCTCGTTTACTTGCCTTGAAAGGGCACTTTCATAATATCTGGGGGGTGGAGACATGTCTGTGTTGTGCGCACTGTTTATTCCGTTAGTTTTTGAGCGGAGGGGGACGTAGACTGCTTAGCACGGGGAAACCATGGGGGCAATGGCGTGCTGTAGCACATTTTAGCTAGCGTGTCTGTATTACGTGCCGCTAGCTTGTTGCTACTTCAGTGCTGGCAGTTGTTGATTTGGGGGGGGGGGGGGGGGCGCTCGGATCTGTTGACAGGACGGGGCGCCCTGCTTGTATAATGGTAGGGAAAATACTGTCCTGCCTTGGTCAGCCATGTCCCCAATCTTTTTTCCCCCCAAACATGTATCACAACAATGTCAATCTAGTGCCGATCTGCGATATCTTAAGGCCAGCTACAACAGCTATGGGCAAATTTGTTGCAGGAGAAGAGACAACTGTATGACATTGTTTGCCATCTAATCACTTCTTGTATTCAGGTCCAAGGGGGTGTCACACCCTACTGACATGGAATGATGTGCCCATACTGACAGCTTTGTAATCTATTTGATCAGACATTGCAAATACTGCACTGCACCAGTACCACAGCATGACCTTCCAACTCGTCAACACTTCTTCTGGATGATTACATTTTACTGCCAACAAGTGTAGCCACACAAGTAAACAAAAACATTCTGAGACCTTAGAGTTATTACACCTAGACGATATCTCACAAGCTGTTTTCATATTTTTTGCCAGCCCAAGCTTGTACAAGTCCAGCTGCTCTAAAAAAATGAACATTGGAAAGTTACAACACAGGAGCAGTATTCATGGATCAGACCTGATTACTGAACACAAAGCGTCACATGACTCATACCTGCACATACCAGGCTCCAGAGTGTCGGATTAAGTGAGCATGTTAGTTTTATGTGGAGGTCCTGCAGCTACATGCTGGCCACAGTGCCACATGCATTCCCATCAAATTGTTTATCACTTATCACATTTTTCTCTGTCACTCTATATTTATCAGAGAACTTAAAAATTAAATTATACACTAGTATGCTCGGGTGTGGAATAACAGTGTTACAGAAGGAATTTGGGACAATATCCTGTAAATCAAATTAGAAAACAAAGAAATAAGTCACTGGTAAGAACTGTTAGCTTAAGGATTTCATTTATTTATTTATATGGTAGGACACTGACTATACACAAGACTCTTGACTGAGGACAATAATACCGGTCTTTCAAACATTCCCCATTTTTTACATCATTACCTGAAACTCAATGACACATGCACCTTTCCTTATACAACACACAAAAATAAACAAACTAAAACATTTAAACCCAGACTTCATGATTCATTTGGTAATTTGTCTAAAATTTATGGGCCTCAAAGTTTTGTTTGAGGAGCATGTGGAGTCATGCTCATTTGGCAGACGAATACTACGCAGTGCTGATGGAATGCAGCGCAAAGTGATCCGTTATCAAACGCAACAGCACTTTTGTCCTTTGTAAGCCAAGTAATTGACTGAACAGGTACAAGAGAGCTTTACAGAGAGCTGCTGCCTGGGAAAACTGAAAGCTTCTGTTGAAGGGACGAAAAGATGAATAATTTTGTGGCGTATGGAAAGACAGACGAGTGACAACAACATGCTTCACACTGCACATAGGTTATTGGGACTAAAAAATTATTTGAAAATCTCCTGAAGACCTTTACATGCACTCATCATGTGCATTATTATTTTTATTTATAGTGGTTTAACTCGTGAATTAGTTTTGACTCATGAATCCCTAATCAGGATAATCACTGAAAAATCACTGTAATGCCTTTTGACTATTGATATGTGCTGCTGATTAACCATGCTGCTGATTTATTTCATGCTGCTGTGTTCATTAGTACTCCTCTGCTCACACAGGCTCATGTTCGTGCTGCTGTCCGGAGTATTGTTTTGGTACTACAAGTGCTTAGTGTATTTTTAGTTTAACCTTTTTCTTAGTTCATATCTTAGATCTTGTTACTGTTTTTCTTTTACATTTTATACTTTTCTTGGATGTAACTGGGACCCAGAGTACTATTTCGTTCCACCACAAGTACCATACGTGGTGCATATGACAAATAAAGAAACTTTGACTTTAACCATTTTGGAACTATTCTTTTTCAAGTCTGGAACAAAATAACTTTTTATGACGTTTAAAAACAAGATTTTGGGGCAAAAGGTTGCGTATATCGAGATTTTCTGTTTTCCAAAAAGGATCAAAATTATTCATACAAGCTGAAATTTGTATTATTTATACGTCTTATTTATATACACACACACAAACATATATACATTACATGCTCGTATGTATGTGTATATATATATATATATATATACACATACATACATGTATGTATACACACAGACATACATGCATGTATGTATATATATATATATATATATATATATATATATATATACACATATATACACATATATACATATATACACATATACACACATATATATATAGACATATATACATATATACACATATATACATATATACACACATATACATATATACACATATACACACATATACATATATACACACATATACATATATAAACACACATATACATATATAAACACACATATATACATATACAGGTCCTTCTCAAAAAAATAGCATATTGTGATAAAGGTCATTATTTTCCATAATGTAATGATAAAAATGAAACTTTCATATATTTCAGATTCATTGCACACCAACTGAAATATTTCAGGTCTTTAATTGTTTTAATACTGATGATTATGGCATACAGCTCATGAAAACCCAAAATGCCTGTCCCAAAAAATTAGCATATTTCATCCCACCAATGAAAGACAAGTGTTTTTAATACAAAAAATGCCAACCTTCAAATAATCATGTTCAGTTATGCACTCAATACTTGGTCGGGAATCCTTTTGCATGAATGACTGCTTCAAT